GTCATTGGAGTTTTTCACTATGATGCAATAATGCTGCATTTCCCATTGTACTGTGTGGTCTGCCTTGGGCTTTGGAATTGCCATCACATTATTGTGACTTTTTATCACTCAACAGAGTAAACAGATACTATACAAATAAAAAATGTTCAGTATCAAATGAAACGGGGGTGAAATAGACCTCTGTTCTCTTTCATTCTTAACGTGTTACAAAATAAATGTATACATAGGGACAAAATAGGCTAGCTACTTCAAAGGATGGGAGAAAAAAGGCTCCTTGGAGGATTGCCGTTGTAGGAATAGGGACGGCAAAGACACCAGGAAAGAAAAAAGCTTTGGGTTAATTACTTCTTCAAGACAAAATGATACAATAGTGGGTTTGTGTTGTGCAGGGTGCATAGCTAATTGGAATGCTGTAGGAGTGTTACCTAGCAACTTAACAGCGTGAAGGAAGATTGTACTGGATTTCTTGTGCAAAATATATTCTGCTCAATGTCATGGGCTATATGATGAAGTACAGTGTCATACACAATGTCTAAAATGTGAGACTGAGCAGGGAAACCCAGGTTTCCAGTATACTCTTAGCCACAGAAACTCACGCAGCAACATTGGGTTACTTATTCTTACTTAAGCCACACTACTTCTCAGGGTTGTTGTTGTTGTGGGAGAAATAAAAAAAAGAAAAAGAAATTTTCACCGGAGACAAATGGATTGTGATAATGTCAGAATCTCCAGAAATAGTAAAACTGACCTGTTTCAAATAACAAAACCTTTTTTGAAAGACCGGAAGCCTCATGTCATGGTTGGCCAACATTTTGGCTTGTCAAGGCTGCATTGATTGAAGAGATATTGTCTTAGGCTTCACATGAAATATATAATATAGTTAATGTATATAAATCACATAATAATATTAAGAGTTTACCATTTTATGGAGCCACATTGTTAACTGTCCAAGGTCACATGCGGCCTGTGGGCTGTGGGTTGGACACCTTTGCTTTATATGGACTTTTTGCTGAAAGAAAGCAATGAATTGATGATTTATGGATTTGAAGATGAAGAAAGATGAGGATTAATGCAGAGGTGAAGGGATTTGTAAAATACTTAAGGTGGAAGAACAGTAAAAATGTAATCATCTGTTGAAAAGAAAGCCAGAAGTCTTCTACATGTTTCTTAAGTTTGGTTCTTTTTCTTGTTTGTTATTATATGAAAATATGATTCTCCACATATCCATACTTTCTTTCAGAAAACAAGAAAGCAATTATTATTTGCTTTGCTGATAAGGAACTAAGAATAAGCCTTAATTGCACAGTGTACTATGTGCTTAGAACTCAAAGCATTGTTAGAGACCCCACACACCGATTTCTCAGTCTGTTTTTGTTGCTCCTCTCTAGGGGGAGGTTTCAAAGTATTTCTAGCAGGACTACCAAATTCTGTAACAGTTTTGTTCCCTATGTCATCCATCTGGTAAACTTACAAGATTAGTTTTTCTCACATTACATGCATACATCCAAACTAGACTGTGTTGTTTCTCTGTGTCATATACTATATGTGGATATATGCATAATTTTGTATTTATTTATTTAGTCATGTTTATGTAGAGTATATTGGAGGTGGAGACCCTTTGAGAGCTGTATGCAATGAAATTTCATTTTAATGTATGCTGGTTAGTGTACATTCAAAGTGACAATAAAGTTATTCTAACTTCTCAATTCTAATTAAGATTCTCAGAAGAAAACTCTCCTAGGAGAAAGAGGAGCTGCAGATAGGCTGCTATACACATATGATGCCATGATAACCAGGGGTGGGATTCAGATTTTTTAACAACCAGTCCTGTGGGTGTGGCTTAGATGGTGGGCATGGCTTGGTGGTCATGTGACTGGGTGGACATGGCTTGGTGGTCATGTTATTGGCTGGGCATGGCCAACTCAATATCACTCGCATTAAGGCACACATCTCCTTGCCTGGCTTCTCATGACTGTGGGGATGCTGCAACAGTCGTAAGTGTGAAAAATGGTCATAAGTCACTTTTTTCAGTGCCATTGTAATTTTGAATGGTCACTCAACACAAGCAAAGTACCAGCAAAGGAGGGAAAAAAAACTCCAGAGAAGTTCCTGAGACAGGAAGTTTAATTCTGCCAAGAATGTAATAAGGGTTAATGGAGAGGCAGTTTCTGTAAGCAACACCAGAATGTTTCCTTCTTGCCTTCCTTACAGGATTAGGCCAGTAATTTCTTCTAACAACTGGTTCTCCAAACTGCTTAGAATGTTAACAACTGGTTCTAGAGAATAGGTGCAAACTGGTAGAATCCCACCCCGATGATAACATTTGAAGTAGACTTAAGAAGGAAAAATATTTTCTTAAGAAAGAAAAACCAAAACAGAAGGTTAGAAAAGGAGGCAGCTTAAATAGCTAAGACGGAGGTCATGCTAGTAAGTGTTGAGGATAAACAATGGATTTTAAATAAGAGGGGAAAAATGCCTATAGGATCCAAAAAGGATTGGATAGAAGACTTAGTTTAGATTATGGGTGCTCAAGTCTATGAAGCATTTTTGAGGGTAAAACCTGGAGATATGCCAAACAGAAGAAATCGCAAATTACTAAGCACTGCAGATTTTATGGTGCTAGAAGGAAGATGGAAAGATCAATCAAAGTTTCACCTACCATCGGATCCAGGCCAAATGACAGGATCCAGGCCAAATGACACTTCATCTGACTGTGAGAAATAGAAATTGCTGCTAAATTCAACATGCCTTTTTAAAAACTCTGGGTAGAACTAGGTCTGATATTACCAAATTAAAGTGGTACAAACATAAAACACTTAATTTAACTTCATGTTTTATCCTGCTTAGAACTTCATGTTGAAAATAAATTTGTGCTAAATGTTAGTGTGCATGGAAAAATAAAATTCTCCTACACTTTTACAACAAACCCTCTATGCTGGTAGTGGGAGAATTATTTGCAAAAGAATCCACAACAAAAGAGAAGTGAAATTTGTTGATTTATTTGATGAAATATATCTGAATTAGCTTCCCACTATCTCTCTTAGGTCAATAAAATCACAAAAAGCAAAAGTGGAAAGGTATGAGCCCTTCCTCTTTATCTTCCAAATTCTTAAAATTGGTGGCATTGCAATCCAAACTCAGAATGAAACTGATACTGTATGCCAATAAACCAAAGATTTATTTATTCCCCTTAAAGAAAGGGTCAGGATCTGGCTGAGAGGTCAACCTCCTTGTTAGCCCTGGGATTCTGTCAATATTTAATCCAATAGAGCACATTTCAGTCACTTGCCCATGATGGAATGACTCCATAATCAGTCTTGAAGTTCCATGTATTGTTTTGTGTATATGACTTAATCCTGATGGCAACAAGGTGTACTTTACTTGGAAAACACACACACACAAAATCATTAAAAGCTAGTTGAGAGATAGAGCTCATTAAAACCATATAGGTAATAATGGGAAAAATGATGGGGTTTTTTTTTGCTGGCTATCTTATTCAGGGAGCAAAATTAACTACATCTTATTTTTTTGAATGCATGTTCATGTGTTCATTTCCATTAAGTGATCCTATCAACATTTCTTTCCCAAGAATAAGGAACCTGCATTATTCTTTTAGGTAATCATATTCAAATTATTACTGGGATTCTTTTTTCCCATACCCCATTTATAATTAATATGAGTTATATTGGTCATACTTAACCACCAAAATAGCCTATAAAGGAGCAAACCAAACTTGGAAAGTTATCTTATAATCTAGAGAAAAGATTAATATTGGTAAGTAGTTGTAAAAAGGAGAGAGTTCTGTTTACATGTATAAAAGCTCAATTTTCACTTCTGTTGTTGCAGGACCAAAAATAATGCGGGAATATGGAGTAGTGTAGAAAAAATTAGTTTGGGAAAAACACATATTGGAAATGAATCAACATCCAAGATTATTTAGCAGACAATATCCAAGAGTGTTTAGAAGAAAACAACAATCTCCCAACAGAATAGAAAGGAAATAAAAGAAAATGCAAAGGTAGAAAAGAACAACCTTTGATTGATAAAATAGGATTGGAAGATTACAAAAGCTAATAAAATGATTTACATATGGTCTGGATTGATTATAAAAAGATGTTTGATTCATTACCACATAATTGGCTCATGAAATGTTTGGAAATAGCTGCAATCCGAAAAAACATCAGAACGTTTATAGGAAAAATAAGACGACAGAATTGGTGGTTGGAAATGAAAATTTGGGCTTGTTAACATTAGAAGAGGCATCTTCCAGGGTGACTTATCATCACTCTTATTATTTGTCATTGTTGTGGTCCAACTTTCAGTAATATTGAAGAAAACACATGTTGGCTCTTAAATACTAATAGACTCTCACATTTGCTTTATATAAATGAACTTAAATTTTATGGAAAATCAGAAATTGAAATCCAGTCATTGATAAATACGATAAGAATTTGGCTCACCACACATCAAATTTAACTATGGTTGAAAAGAATGTGTAGATAACTGATACGATAATGCCATGGGATACCAGAAGGCAAAGAATTGGAGATCACCAAGTATCAAGGTCTAAAAATAGAAGTTGAAGGATAATGGCAATAAGCCAACTATAGTGGTCCCAATGATTATTTGCTCCCTGGGTGCCATAACAAAAGTCTTGGATGGCACTTAGAAAATATGTGCATTGACAAATATTTCCATCTATCAATTACAAAATGTCATATTGCTGGGATCCTCACATATATTACACTGATACATTATGACATCCTAGGTTCTTGGGAACTTGATGAATATGAAAGCTAACACCAGCTAAAAAACTGGCAGCTGTGATTTCACACTGATGTGCATATGAAAATAGTGCCAAAAATGTTTTATCTGTGAATATTCAATTTAGGAATTTGAAACAATAGATTATAAAAGATCATTTAAATTTTGAAACTAAGAATATTTTAAAATGCGGTGGACCAATAATATTTAATTTAAAAATGGAGAAACATGAGGTTGAAAACATTTCCCTTTTATTGAAAATACTTGATATTTTCTCACTTACAGACTATCAGTGAGGTTTGCAACAGTAATTTGACAGAAACCTAACAACACTTTTTTTCAAATTCGCTTTGGAAATATACAGGGCTTCAAATTTGCATCTTAATCCAGCTATTCAACAATTATTCTTTCCATGTTTAGAAGTATTACATAAATAATTACAATCTGTAGTCAATGCAGTATCTTCATGATAAAAACATTTTCTATATAAGATGTCACTTGGAGACCAAAAATGAAATAATTTTTGAAAGGAAAACATTTGTAGTATTGATAAAGTATGTACAAAGTTAAGATGAAAATGAAGACATAAAGACATAAATATAAAAGCAAAATATTCTTGTCCTTAGCATTCTTTTTTGTTGCTTATTTTAAAAACTTTATTTAAATTTCAGTAAGTACCAACATTTTAACATATACCAGTAGCAGTCATTAAATATAATTGTGAAACAAAAGAATATTTCTTGATAGTCTAAATAGCTCTCTGTTGTATGAGTATTTTCTGCTAGATCAGAGCAAGACATCACTGGATAGAGCTCCAGTTATTTCTTAATTCCAATAACCCTAGAGGTTAAACGTCTATAGGACTGAAGCCTAAAACATATTCTAAATATATTCTAATATATTTTTCAGATCAATACTGCACCTTCAGAAAATCATAAAACCCTTTTTGTGCAGTTCTCTCAATTTAGGAGAAATTCACAACCAATCAGCACATTCTCAGTCTACACAACTTTTTGCTCTTCTCTTTTCTATTTTATAAAGTTGTCAGTATGGTGTGATACATATTTTTGCATAAAGCTATAAATTCAGACTACCTACAGTCATGGAGTAGCTCAGAAGTAGGCTATCATTTTGGCGTACTGAACATTGTTACAGATGGCTGACAGATAGACTTTTCCATTTGACAAATGCCTGCCATAGTCAGTACAGCCAGTCATAAAATACATCTCATTTGTAATTACCTCTAGTTTCTCTCCCCCCCACATCCTCTTTCGTTCTTTCTATTTTTTCTGGAAAGGTGAGTGTATTTCCAAACCAGGTGCTAAGCTGTAGTTACCTAACGTTTTTATTTTCTAAGACTATCTACAGGATCCATATGTTAGTACCTGGTGCTTGTAACATGGCAATATTTGCTTCGTTATAAATTAAAGGTCCTATTAAAAAGAAGTCATCTGCAGCCTAGAATCTAGATTCTAGAAGGTACAAAGGAAGGGTCCATGAGCACAATATTGTTTACTATGCTATAGATTATAACAAAGATTATTCTCTGCTTTCCTGGTATTTATAGATAGGCCTATATCAAGACACTATACCAAAGATTAGAGTGAATGAGAGATAGGTATCTTCTATTGACAACTGAGTCATAGTCTTCCATTCCTTGGTGTGGTTAAGGAATGAGAGTTTGGAACTCATGATTGTGTACTGAGAATAGGGGAGAACATTGATCATAAATGTGTAGAAAATGTGCAGGCCTTTCAGTCTTCTTATTGACCAAATACAGTATATGTCTCACAATTGTAAGAAGGGAAAAGTTATGTTTGACTGGTGTTCAATTAATTGGAACAAATCCATCACCTGATTCTCTACATGCAACCAATACCGCAGTCATCCGCAATGCTACACTGTGTTCTTAAATATAAATCTATTTTGGTAATTGAAAAACACCACTGACTATTTTACAGCGAAGTCCCTTCTGCAGTACTTTCTCTAGTTTGTAAAAAACAATCTGCGTTAGCTTTTCTTCTTTTCTTGGCTTTATTTCTCAAGATGGAAGATCAAACATTTTTCTTTATTTACCATGTTTCTTCTTCCCATCTGTGTTGCACTCATTGCTTTGCAACACCTCAAAAAAAATCCTCAGCATTCCTTCTACTACATCCATTCACAATAGTGATATATCTCTTCATTTTGCCATTCTTATGTTTACCATTTCTTTTTGCATCCATTAAAATATTTCATTCCCTTCTTGTTTAAAACAAGACCCTGCCTGTGTTACTTCTAATCATTCCCAGGCCTTTTTGATCTTACCTTCAAATACACCTCTACTTATTTTGCATACACATAAATCTATCTGGATGCCTTAAAAAAAAATTGTACAAAGCATTACGTCTTTCTTTGAATTGAGATAGCCTTATTTTCAGTGCTTATAACTTGGTATATTATTTTGACAATTGGAAGACATCTGCGGCAGTTAAAAGGCAGTGGACGACTTGACAAACTATTCTTAGAGGTATTTTCCTTCTTATTTTCAAAACTAAGGAATACAAGAATTATTTTAGCCAGTGTGACTTTTTTTCTCCCTTACTCTATTCATGATAAACGAAATGGAACCAGAAATTATGGATGTCACACATTCACTCCCTGATTTCTATTGTGAAAAAAGGCCTGCATTTGAGATTAAAGATATAGAAATAGTATAGTTATCATAAAGGACTAAGTAGCGTAGATGTAGGAAAATGACTATGGCAGTAATTGTTTAGCTTAGCTGGCACTGTACTTTTAATAAACACTACTACAGTTTCTGGAGTGGTATCCTACAAGTAATAAAATATTATAGACCTTCCTCCCTGTGGAAAAAGAGATGGTCCTCCATAGAGAAAGAGGTCCAATAAGGATTTTCATTGAGGAACATCATTGTGTGATAGTATATACTTTTGCTTTTGTGGCTGTCTAACTAATGAAAAATGAAAGTTCAGCTAAAAAAACAGGAGATGTCATGGCCCACATCTAGTGCTATCAGTTCAAACTCCCAGGTCTCTGAATATATCCACAAAATAGAAAGGAAATATGCTAGCCCAGGGGCTGGCATAATTTCCATACCCAATAAAAACAGTAAGCTAAATTAAGGTGGTGAAAAACAGAATCAGTAAAAACAGACATAAAAATATAAGCACCTCTTTCTTTTCCATTGTCCTTATCAATAAGATATAGGAAGTGTCCCTACTATCTGTTCTTTATACTGTGGTGCTGTAGGGTTATTTTGTCTGCTATACCATGAAATGTTGTACTTCTCATCCCTATATGCTGTTAGAAATATATGCACAACAGCACAATGGGGCCACTGCTTTTATGATGAAAACTTTGTCTATTAACATCAAACCTTTATGTGGATGCCAAGTAAAGAAACATCACTGAAAGCATTATCAAGGAGTAGAACATGAAATGAAATTTAATTTAGGATTTTAAGTTAATGTGTGGCAAACTATTCAAAGAACCTATGCCACATAGAAAGACCACAGTAATTACTATTTGATTCTTGGTATTAATTAAAATATCAAGATAAATAACAATATCATGAATCACTGCCCTGTCAAATAATGAAACTGAGCTGTCCTTACTATGATACCCTTGACTATTTTGTTTTGCAAATCAACAGTTAAAACATGGATAAACTGATATAATTCAAATAATGGCAAGATTTTTTTTTATTAATCTGATGTCTGGATGGAGGCAATAAGAAACTTTTGTTTTAAGCAAATGTTTAATGCTTCTGGAAACATTGACCATTATGTGAGATTTTATATTTTGAATTTCTCTGAGTCAGCTGGATATCCAAAGGGAAATGTCTTCTCAAATATGCTATTGCACTTGAACCAATTATAGGGAATTGGGATATGCTTCAATAAATCTCAGTTAAACAGCTTTTAATCATCTAAGTAAGGTTTATCTACAATTAGCAAAATTTCAATACAACTCTAGAGCAACCTTGTGCGATTTGACTAAAAACACGCATTTCAATCTGCAGGTCTTTGGAAAGCCACTAAAACTATGCTATAAATAGCAAAATAAATGAATTATAGGAAAAGTGAACAGAAGCCTAAGGTTTCTGTTTTAGGAAGATCAGAGGTAGATATGAACCATCTAAAAGAGGCAGATCTCAAAGTTACATTCTGAAACTTCTATACTTCTGCACTCATGGTGGATCATAATTCTTGATATGGTTGAGTTGATCACATTAATGCTATGCCAACTCTACAACTCTACCATATAATCAAGCACAGTCAAACGTTTTCATGTCACTTGTGAGGTATCATCATTTATAAAAAGTTTGAATGCTTTCATCAATCATGATACAATATTAACAAGATCAATCATCTTTCAATCAATGCATATATCTTGTGACATGTCAAAACCATATTTCATAAAGACTACAGTCTAGTCTTTAATTCTCTGCTTTGTTGACGCACCTCCTCATTTTGCTCATCCAGCAGCGGGATAAGCCTGTACGTCCAAAGTACATTCTTTAAGTAGTACAATCTTTTATTTTTATCAAAATGATCCTAAATCACTTGTTTGTGATTTAGCCTTCAGTCTAATACAGAAATATTAGTAATCAAGTATTCCATTTATCTGTATTTGTTTTTCTCCCAATAAATTTACTTTCACAATGGGAGAATCATATTAGATTGGGTTGAAAATACAGTAATGGAAATTGCCTAGGTAGCATTAAATTCCAGTCCTATTTTAGTATGACCAAGACATGAAAAGATGAAACAGGTAAAGAGAGAGAGAGGGAAAACCAAACATTGTCATGAATTGCTTCAACCTCTTTAGGCATAGTTACCTAAACCCTGTACATCTCTTCAAAATAAATATCAGCATTTCAACAATAGTCTCCTGTTAGAAACTTATGAAATTGATTCAGTTAAAGACTTCAGATGTAATTTTTGTGTTAAGAGTTGTCCTTATCCAATTGGTGTAAAAACAGTACATAATTTGTTCAGTTTGACATTGCAAACAAGTATAAAATTATATACACAAAATACATTTAATAGAAGTTAGGAACAACTACTTACAAAGATACAGTATTATTTACAAAGCAAAACCTATTTTAATAGGCAGCCAGAATAACATTTTTAGACATTTTCATTGGAAGCATTATATTTTTCTTTTGATGTTGAGATATCAGTCGGTTATTTCAAATAGCAAGTAAAGAGAAATTGATGCGCTTAATTCAAATATCTCTCTAGTATGTAAATAGCAAACATTTTATTGCTTGCTTTCCAAAAAAGAAATCATATGTAGAACATATGTTTTATTATTAGAGTCTGGTTACTTAAAAGTTTAATACAGAATGACTCGCAATTTCATTTAACACTATCGTAGATTGCAAACTGTACTGCAAATGACTATTTGCATTTCAACATTTTCCAAAACTGATACCATGGAAAATGTTTTCCATACTAGTTAGGTCTAAAACAGAACCTAGAAACAGACTTTAACAGGATATATAAATATACATACACCTATACACATACACAGAACTTACTGTCAAGTACTCTTTCAGCACCATACTTTCATTCAGGGAAGTAGTATGGATATCCTTAATCATATAATGCCATAAAATTGTCTCTGGTGCTCTAACAACCAAGAGACAACCTTTACAGGTGCATGTGATCAGTCTGATCATACTTCCATTATCACAGGTGCTAAGTGGACTTCCAGGTGACCCCCTGAAGTAGGTTCAAAGTGCAAAATTGTTGCAATGTCACAGGTTGCAGGACATTATTGTTTCCGCGCCTTCAACTTGGGATCAGCAGGTTTTTCTTGAGTAACAGAATATCGAGGTGTGTAACCATTAAATCCATTTACAAAGACACATTGATAGTAACGGACAGCAGCTGAAAAGAGGGAAGTAAAAAGAATGATCAGAGTATATAGCTGTAAATTAAGGAAACATTTAATCTAGAAAAGCATAGATCAACTTCCCTAGTCTGTTATCAAAATATGTTACCATCAAACCAACTCCTTGATAGAAATTCAAGGAATTGAAGTCAAGCACATCGAGAGACTAATGTAGATTATCAATGTCCAAAACCACTTTCTTCCCTGGTCAGGCATGGATGGCATCAAGAGTTTTAATCATTAAATAAATGGCAAGCAATATTTTATCCCACATTTGTTTTTTGACAAACCGAAAAAGACTTTTTTACCTTGCCAACCAAATCTGCTATTGAATGGCACACATTATTCCTATGTTAATGGCCGACACAAAATACTGTGAGCAAAAATGTCAGCTATGAAGTGACATTTCTCTTTCTTCATTGCAGTTATTTCAGAATATACCCTTCTGGGGGGAAAAGAATTACAAATAAACTCCTCGGTATAAGTAAATAGAAAATTAGAAGTCAAATACACAATGGAAATGCTAACGTATATGGACCCAAGATACAGTTTATGCCCATTTATATTCATTATCATATGGCTTATATGCAAGTTGTCTGAAATAATTGGATGGAGCTTTGGAGCTTCAAATGTGTTTTCTTTTTCAAAAACATGGATTGCCGGGCAATCTATGGCCTGTGGGCTCCATGTAGATCCTGATCCCCTGGTTGCCACTTCTAAAGAATCTGAGCATACATTGCAGAAATTAAAGGATCCCAAGTTCCCATGGATGAAATTTGATGATGGCATAATACTAGTTTTTATTCACAACACCAAAAGTAAAAAAGAGAGAGAAAGAGAAGCAGAGAGGGGAGAGGAGGGGGGAGAAGGTAATGCTTCTTTGAAATGTAGGATATTTATTTTGACTTTTAGAAGTATGGAATGGTGAAAAGGAAAAAGAAAAACCACCCAAATTCAGTCAAGCGATCTAATACGGTTGTGTCACCAGCTATCACTATACTCGTGCCTCATGAAAAAACAGCAACAACAAATAACAATAATAATGGTTTGTCAGACTGGGAGAAATGATTAGCTTTTGCTCAATATAGCAATAGCACTTAGACTTAGAGACTGCTGCATAGTGCTTTACAGCCCTCTCTAAATGGTTTACAGAGTCAGCCTATTGCCCCCAACAATCTGGGTCCTCATTTTACCAACCTCAGCAGGATGGAAGGCTGAGTCAACCTTGAGCCAGTCAGGATCAAACCCCTGGACTGCGCAGTGAGTTAGCCCTGCAGTACTACATTCTAACCACTGTGCCACTACGGCGCAGTATAGTATGAATTGCAATGATACAAAGTAGAATGTTCAATGATTGCTGCCTAGGTCCTTGCCTTCTCTGCAGGTGGTGGTGATCCACCCTGTCAGCCTCTATAGAAATTCCCTCTGTCCTGCTTTCCCTGCTTTATTAAATTTATTTATTTGTTAAATTTATTTGCTGCCCATTTCACCCTGGGGTTACTCTGGGCGGCTTACAATAGTAAAAATGGGAAACAATGATAAAAAATGTAAACGTAACAATAGTAAAGCAATGAAACAATAAAAATAAACGAGGAAAGTACAACAATATGAATTGAAAGATGTGTGGGAGGAGAAGTAGGAAACACAGGGGAGAAGGGGGCCAGCTAATTAATCCAGTAGCCACCTCCACTTCTGCATTTGGTCCCCAGACCACCTGTCAGAGCCAGGTCTTCAGGCTGTCAGAGCCTGTGATATAGGGAAAGGAAAAGAATGAGCTCTCCCCCGATTCTTTTCTTGCCCACCAAGCAGCAGGAAGACGATGCCAATCATGGATTTGGAATCTTTGTCTTATCTCCCATGGATGTCAGTGGGTGAGAAATCAATCAGAAAGGAAATGGAAGAACGGTTTAAGGCTCTAGCACACGGGTGTCAAACTCGATCTCATTGAGGGCTGCATCAAGGTTGTGTTTGACCTTGGGGGGGGCAGAGTGGGTGTGGCCAGGAGGGCATGACCAGCTCAACATCACTCGTATCAGGGGCACCTGTAGTGGCCCAAGCGCTCTACCAGTGAAAATGGGCTCCGAGCTCTGTTTTCAGCTGCAACTATGTCCTGTAACCCTCTGCCAGCAAAAATGGAGCTCGGGAGCCCATTTTTGCTGGCAGAGGCACCACGAGCTGGTTCTTTGCTGTTTCCAGGGTGATCCCATGGGCCAGCTTTAAGCACCAATGGACTGAATCTGGCCCCTGCCCTTGAGTTTGACACCCCTGCTCTAGCATTAGACTTTTCAATAACCAAATTGCTCTGTTGGTTGTCTCCTGTGTGCCATGCCGATATTTCTTATATAATTTGTACAAGGAGATGTACAAATTATGTGCATATTATCTGTGTACATTTGCAGGTATGCACCCCCCACAAACAGAGTTTCAATTATGGGGAGTATTATGAAGATATATTTTTGTTCAGTTTTCCATACAAGACAAAATGAAACTAGAGAAAAGGTGTGGTTAGATTTGCTCAAACACAAATCTTATTAATGCAGCTCTGAGTCTTTAGCAATTAAATGCTTGTCCTGTAAAAGGGACTTCTTTTTTCTTGGTGCACAGTTTTGATGCCGGTCATGATATTTGATGTGTCAAATAGCTTGCAGCCACCTAGGAAAGACTGTTAAATTCGAAGGCCTGAATCTTGACCTGAATATAAAAATGTTGCTAATTAGAGACAATTCCATCTTGAGCCAAATATGTAATGAGTTATGCTTGTGGGTCAGGAACAGGTCACTCAGCAGACATCTTTCATTAAAGCAAAGTACTTTGGCAGCAAAGGCAAAGCAGATGGAGAGTTCATTAACACACTGTGTCACAAAACAACATCATAGTTCACTTTGATTAACTGGTCCACTGAGAACGGATCATTTTATTTTATTTTATTTTATTTAAAAATCAGAAATAGCCAGGCACTCTTTGTCACTGTAAAAGACTAGCAAATATTTGATGTTATAAGTTTGTTAATGTTCATTTGGGATGCATGCGAATAAATAGCTCGCCCTCCAGAAACTATTTTTTCTCAAATTGTTTCCTCAAAGTGTTTGCACTAGGAAAGTAAACAAAAAAACAAAAACCCACTCTCAATTTTCATCTTATGTCCAATCTGTGATGAAGTTATCTAGCTGGACCAAAGGGACATGTTCTTTATGGCATTTTTTTATTCCTTTATTCCTTCCTTTTATTCCTTTTTTATTCCTTTTATTCCTTTGCATGTCACTTAAAAGAAAGAAGTGGTTTCTCAAAGAATGAACGGATTGGCAGCCTTCAGTGAAGAAGTGAAGGCGGAAGAGCTTCATTCATGTCATAGGCAGCTAGAGAGGGAGTAGGAAGTTGGTCCTCAGATGGAAGGCCAAGGGTACAAGTATCCAAAATAACAAGACAGAATTAATGTATGCTACATTTTTAGTGCCCTAATAACAACCCTAATAATGCTCAAATAATTTTGATCCATTCAAATCCATGCCAGACATGCCTTGGCTTAACACCCCCCCCCCCCAAAAAAAAAAGATACTCTCTACAATCCTACAACCAAAGATTGCATTGGCAGCAGTTAAGGTCTTTGAATATCTGTTGGGCATACAGGTATGAAGTTTGAAAAGTATATTAGATGTTCTGTCCACAATAGATTTGTCATTGAAAGAAATAATATTGTGGCAATGAATTTCTCCATCAGCAGTCCTCCATATGATATAGAGGTATAAATCTGCATGTGTGTTTTAACCAGCTTCTTACATATTTTTTGTCACCTTGCATTGGCAGAAGTTTTTCCAGGCATAATGTTTGAATACTTGCCAATGCTATCAATGTCACCAGTAAAGCATACCTTATACACATTATTTTGGTCTACAACAATTATTGGAATTAGAGAAAAGACATGGCTGCTAATTAGAATTGTTATTCAATCATTCAGTCTCTTCCAATTCTTCATGACCCAATGGACATCATTTTGCCAGGATTGTCTGCCAGTAATTGCTTCTTGACGTTTCTATTCTGACACCATCAAGTATGTTTTGTTCTGACATTGCAAGTCTAAATAGTATACATATTTTTGCAGCATTAAATTTCCTTTTTGCCTCTGGGGACATAACTGCTGAATATGCTTTTAATTCTATTCCAGCCAATACCAATACTGACATCTGTGACTTGCTCTTAAATCTTTTAATATCATGTTGACATAAATCTGTTTGTGGATATTTTTTCCTGGCAAACTCCTTGAGTGGGTTACTATTTCCTTTTCCAAGAGATTGTTTTTAATCTAATTCAGGGGTGTCAAATTCACTTCATAACAGAGGCATCATGTAATGTATCGGGACTTTTACCTGCTTCGCTAAACTGGGTGTGGGCATGGCCGGCGCATGACACATCTGGCCCGTGGGCCAGGAGTTTGACAGCTCTGATTTAATTCATCATTTATGACCTTCTAATCAATGGGTGGCTCTACATACCCAACAGTATAGTTCACAGTCTTGCTGGGATACACAGTGTTTTTAACCACTATCAGGAAATTAGTAGATATAAGTGTTATTTAATTGAATTATCATTAAGAGGCAACAAAATGGAGTAAAAAGTATTAATTATAAACATTTAGCTAAAAATAATTTAACAAGTCCAACAGTTCCTATGTTAACTAAATCTGATTTAACACTGTCAGTATGTTCATTATTGCATGCTCCCTAGATTTCTATATTGGATAAAGTCCAGTTTTTCTTTGTTCAGTTGTTAATTCTTCCTCTAGGTGTTTACAACCAGCAATCTTACTTGTAAACAAGACAATGCAACATAAAGTCTACAATATATCACAGATCCCCTCTCATACTGACATCTCTTATAGAAGCCACTATATTGTAATTGAAGTCCAAATATCCTAGGATATTATGCTGGAGAGGGGTGTTTTGCTTAGTTCTAGTTCATGGTTGAAACATTAATGCTACAGAACAGCCCTCTCACTCTGAAGTTAATCAGAATGTGGTTATAGAAAGCTATTTGTGATCTCTGGATGACAGCAAACAACTGTAAAAATTCTCACACAGCCAAATACCAGATCTGGCTACCAAAACATGAAACAGATGGAAATTGTATCTCCCACCCAAGATAATTGCTTTTAGAATGAGTAGAAGAAACAGATGCAAAAAATGTGAACATGAAACCTTATAAACAGTGTGGTTCCCTGGAACTTGCATTTGATAAACGCAAGATGCCCTTACTGTTTCACAATGGCCCCTTAACTTTTCCACAATTAAACTACCTTTTCAGAAATTCCGGGATTCTCAATGCCCATTTAATTAGATCCAATCCAGCCTGCTAGAGAAAGCCTGACCACAGTGGTAGGTATTTTAGCAGCTCATGCAAGAGAAATGGTCCTTCATGCCATACATTTACATCATGTTCGGTGAATACACAAGTGGTGCATCACATTAAATGGTCAACACTGCAGTTTGCATATGTGAATCAGGCCTTAAAGGACTTCCCAAATCCATTAATTGGCCATAAACAAAGTTTAGAAGCAATAGAATTCTTTGTGTTTTATTTCTTTTATGGCTCATTAATATACTGGTTCAGATAGGAGACTTACTAAAAAGAAACTTTCTTAGTGAAGACATCTTCCCTCTCAGTGGTACAATCAACTTACAAGATAAAAATAATAATTCATATCAGAAGCAAAACAAAACAACGTTGCTCTCAGCAGTATGTTTGTGCATGGATAAGAAGCCACTGAACCTACTTATATGACTTGTCCATCCCAATTAATCAATACCATGTCTTTTATTATTTTTACAAATAACTCAGGATGGTAAACGTATGCAACACATCTTCCTCTTCCTATTAAGATGGGAACATGCCATTTGATTCTCATTCATTGATAAAAAAATAACAATTTTCATTCCTACAAAAATAGTGCATCAGCATGGACAGACATTAGTGTGACCAGTACACAGATTCTGCTCAGCTAATCAGAACCTTTCTTACATTTATGCACATCTCTTTTTAAGAGTTGCAAAACGTTGTTTTATTGAGGCTAATGCAGTTCTAAGGAAACCCTATTTCTTGAAGGAAGATGATAAAGTCAAGGCTAATAATTATTCTAAGAATGTAAAGCAAGTAAAGCATTTAGTCTTCTACTTGGTAGAATTATAGGTTAGAATTTTAAAAATAGGTTCATGTGGGCTTTTGGCCTCTCATGAGCACAATTTTCATGTGGAAAAAATCAGTGGAAGTTTAAATTCTAACCTGTACTGAATGTGAATTACAAATTTATTTTACTGACTTGAGTCTTGGTATTAAAGAATCATTGTACTACAACCATAATAATGTAATTCCTTTCCATAAACTTCAGAAACAAATTGTAGAAGAAGGAGATCTGAAGATTTATGCAATGGTCATAATCTATGACACGATTACTGGAAGGGGAAAGAGTGAATAGCTGTGTTTTTGTGGAGTTATATTTTTATTACAACCAAACAGAAGAGCAGAATTCAAGACATTATTCTAATAATTACACAGTTGTTAGAAAAAGTCTGATATATGGTAGCTGACTTATATGGAAATCATTTTCTGAAACTTTCTCCTCTTGTACTTGTACAGATAGCAACATGAAATATATAAAAATTGATGTCTTATTCAAATTCTTTGTACTAATTTATCTTTTCTTCTTCAATTACTTTCAAGATTAGTTTAATCTTACAAAATATGAAAAATGAGCTTTCCCTCATTAACTAGTTTTCAAAGGCAAATTGTTCATCCTTTCTTAATCTGACAAGATGAGGCGAAACAATACTGTGGATACCTAGTTACATGTCCTGAGAAGGAATTGAAGTCATTTGAAAATCAAAGATATTTGCAAGGCCTTTAACTTACTTCCTGGTTTTGCAGCTTTTGAAAGTTTTTCTGAAAAGAAAGAAAGAAAATCTCAGAAAGAGGGAGAGAATCTGTAGAGCAAGGTTTTTTTTGCTAAATCTTTGCTGTCTTTGCTAATCAATTAATTCTTCGCTTTCTTTGCTAATTTGCTTTCTTTCAATTGTTTTATTTGCTACTTAATTAAGTTAATCCGGCTGCATTTTTGAGGTCACATCATACTGAAACTCAAAACAGCTATGACTATGAATGTCTTTGATAATGGGATGAAAGGGGTTTTTTTTGTTTGCACATGTGTATAAGAAGCCCTCCTGGGTGATACCACAAGGCTTCCTTATTTGTCTATCTTTGAATATTCTTTTCAGGCACAGGGAAGCCACTTCCAAGACCTTCCAGAAGAGATCTGTTTTCAGCTTGTTCCAAAAGGCGGTCAAGTTCAAAACTAGCCAAGGTTCCAGAAGGAGGCCATTCCAAAAAGCTGGGCTGCTACAGAAATGCAATATCATTTAGCCTCCTATACCATGTGAAAATGGAGAGGAAAGATCAGCTTTTCCCAAAAATATTGAGTTGGTCAGACTGATTCTCATTGATAAAAACAGCCCTGAAACTAACTTACTGCCAAGCCATAAACTTTAAATTATATCTGAAAACCTAAGAAGCCAACATAATCTGATAACACATAAGTGCAATGTAGAAACAGTAGAAAATTATGGCTTGAAAAATAACCACATATAATCAAGTAAAAATGTGGTTTTTAATTAAGATAAATGGATCTCAATAGTGAGCAATTAATACTAAATCTTAATAGACACTGGATTTAAAGAGTAAAGGAGGAGGAGGGGAGGAGGAGGAAGAGGAGGAGAGGGAGGGGGAAGAGGAGGAGAGGGGAGGATGAGGGGAGGGGAGGGAGCGGGAGGGGGAGGAAACCAACCACCAATTACCTGTAGTCACATTGTGATAAAAAGGGACTGCTTTTTCTGCAGGAACTGTTAAAGAGAACAAAAACATTTAATTGTTTTGGATTCTAAATATAAGAGTTATAGACATAGAAATAGATATATAGGTACGTAAACACACACATTATGTGCACAGCTACTCTCTTCAAAGAACTTTATGTGTTTCACAGTATTTAGCCCTTAATCAAAGTCCATGAGACTTCACCAAGGCTTGAGGGAAAACTTCCTTGGGTCACAAAATCATGAAATCAAAGATCTTCAGTCATGATGAAGAATAAGCGGCCATGTTTCTATCTTTCCCCATCTTTCTCCTAGACCTTTCAGGACCAGTTCCATTCCCCATCCCCAAGAATACAGTAGTTACAGAGGACCAACTGATTTCTAGAAAAGCTATCCAGTCCAGTTTCAAACAAAAATCTAGAAGCTTGTTCTTCTTCTCTTAAAAGTAATACTCTAGATCAGGGCTGTCAAAAGCACTGCCTCACGCATAGGCCACACCTATACCTGGTTTAGCAAAGAGGGAAAAGTCCCGATATATCACATGATGCCACTGTAACGACATGAGTTTGACATCCCTGCTCTAGATTTATGGTTTGTAAGGACAATTGTATGTTGTTGTAATAAGAGGGGAACAAAGACTCTAATCCAAGGGTCTTCAAACTTGGCAAGTTTAAGACTTGTGGACTTCAACTCCCAGAATTCCTGAGCTAACATGACTGGAGGAGGAATTCTGGGAATTGAAGTCCACAAGTCTTAAAGCTGTCAAGTTTGAAGACCCCTGCTGTAATCTATCTCAGCCACTGAAGCTCATTGGGTGATTCTAGACTCAATCACTCTGCATCAACCCAACCTCCTTCACAGGAAGAGGTTTGTGTAGATTGCCTTGCACTCTTGAATTAATTGCTGGATAGAAACCACATACATACATACATACATACATACATACATACATACATACATACATACATACATACCTTTGTTATGTTTTACTTTCAAGGGTGTCTTTTCAACTGTTTTTCCTGTATGTAAAAGAAAAAGAGAGAAAAATCAAATACAATATTTAAACTGAAGCTCATAAAATCCGCTTTGTTAATATTAAGGTAAGTGAGGAAGGAAAGATATTAGCAAATTCAGAGAACATATAGTTTTTTAGAAAGAAAAAAACCCCAGTCTTACCATGTTTTTCCTTCTTTTCTCTCAAAGATTTTTCTGCTTTTTTTTCATCTGCAAAGAATGTCCAAATCATAGGCGTTAAACTTTAGGGGACTTGGATATTTGCATATTGTTTCACAAACCCTTGGAGAAAACAAGCTTGTGATTTCTGTCTGTCAGCAGCAGGCAAGTTAAATGTGGTTGGAAACAGAACAGATCTTACATTTGCACATTTACACGCTCTTCTATGGAGTTGGATTGAATCATATCTCAAGTGATTTGATATATGCACAGATGTCTTTCTTCAGCATTCATTTTTTTTCAAGCATCCCTGAATACAGTCAATCAACTGTGACTTCATACAAGGAGACAGACTGAAATTAACTAAGGTGCAGAGCTGGAGCATGGCTGCCACTCTGATACTTCCTGCTGAGAACAACAGCAGGTAGTTCGCAGTTTGCCATAAAGCTGTTCATTCTATCTGCCGCCCCCTCCCCTTCCCAGATCCAGCTCACTTTAATGCAACTCCAGTCTCTATTTGCTCAACTGTGAGCATCCTGGCATAATCTCTCCACATGCTACATTACCCTCCCAGACACTAACAGCAAGTAAGTAATTAAAGTTTGTGGCTACCTTGAAGAGTGATAAAAATAGAATATCTGACACTTTGTGGCAGATCTTTTAATGGGACAAATTTAATTAGTTTTTATGGTGCTCAATAGATATATCAGGTAAGGTTCTGGCGACATTAAGCTCCATCAGGTACAATTCTTGTGGCTTGTTATTACATATACCATATGTATATGTACTATATGCTATGTACATCTACTACATGTTTACCTGCAACTTTGAGATCAGCTGTTGCTTTTCCTGGTCTTTCTACTGAGTGGCACAGACATAGAAAGAGAAAGAAAAAAAATAAGTACATCTATATAAATCTTCATACTTTGAGAGTTTGGGGCTGTTTTCAATGCAGATAATCATTTACATATGACTGTAATAGAATCTACCCATTACAGTCATACATTGAAAAGTTTGTAAAAGATGTTCAACCTGATATTACCCATGGTTCTCGATCATGGATACAGGATGTTGCAAAATGCTGCAAATGGCTATCAGTGTGGCTGTATTGCCAAGCAATCACATGACCTTGGAGGGGACCTGCCATTGGAACTTTGAATCTGGGCTATAAGTACTCCAAAAGTAGGCCTGTTGTAACTTTGAAAGGGCACTAAGTGACCAGTTGTAAATCAAAGACTACCTGTGTAGTGTATGTTGCATACACTGTGATACAGCAACACTTTTGTTAAGTTAATGTAGAAATATTTCACTTGTAAATACAAACTGTACATGTTGTCCCCAAAGGTACTTTTTATCAAAGGCAACTGGACTTTGGTTTTCTTTGAAGATGTTTCACAAGAAACTTCTTAAGTTCTGGCCAGAGAAATTTCTAGGATGAAAAGCAAAACATCTTCAAGGAAAACCAAAGTCCTGGTGCCATTGGAAAAAGCACCTTTGTATAAACCATGACCTGAATGACTGAGAATCTCTACAGATCTCAACCTGTACACGTTGAATTCCCCTAATCAAGCCCACAGTATATCTGAGAAAATAGAACTGCAGTGTCTCAAATGTGCTTTTTCAGGAGGCAACTGGACTTTCTTGTTTTTTCCTTTTGAAAATGTTTTGCTTCTCATCCAAGAAGCTTCTTCAGTTCTGACAGGTTAGTGGGGAATGGAAGGATTTATATTCCTTGGAGACATTTGGTAATTTGGGACAACCATGATCTGGATTGCTGGGAATTTCTACAGAATATAAGCGCAGTGAAAATAGAAACTTTTAAGATATAAAGAAGTTGACAGGAATTTTTGCCAGATTATAGATATTATGAATTAGATTTTTGCCATTTTATTTTCTTGCAAAACTTATTATTCCAGATATAGACTAGTATTCTTGAATCAATGTCTTTCAGATATATTGGAATGTGTTTCTGACAATCCATCAGCCAGAAGATCAATGGACACTGTTTCAGGATAAAAGTGATAGCTGGAGGGTGCCCATTAGGAAAGTGTGATCTGTTTTAATGCCAAAACTGAATATATTGGATTTTGCCTTGGGACTTGATATTATTGTTCTAATGTGATCTGTTCTGCAGATTATCTCCAGTCTGTATCCATTTTATATCCTTGCAACATGGCAGACATCTAAAATCATTTGAAATATTGATTATACCTGCAAATAAGAGGCACATCAAATAGTTTAACATTTCTTGAGTAGAAATATAAAACATAAATAAAAAAGTAAATATAAATGTAGAAGACAGAGTCTTTCATGCAGCTATGTTACCTGAAAATTTTTTTAGATTTAAATAATTAAAAAATAGATGCACCAATAGTCTTTTTAATGCAAATAAAGTTCCTGATGTTCCAAAATACTACACATCTGCCACAAACAATTAATTAGAGATCTAGCAAAATAGGTAAGTAGTGAAAGATAGAAATAGATAATGACTTTTAAAATATAATTCCAATTACTTCTGTTCATTCCTATTATGATTGATGGATATAGAAATAGATAATTTAGGGTTTCCTTCATGTTACTATCTTTACCTTCCTCATTTAAAAATAATGCAAAGATCAAATTTAACTAAGTTGATACATTGGGATTCATAGATGTTCTTCAGTTCTTCCCCATCAGATAGGAGACAACTGATAACACAACACAATAATCAGTGTAGTAAGATATTCTCTCAAGAGCAGCAATCTACGTACTTGTGTAGCTGTTCTCTGTACTTGAAGTAGGGGCACAAATATTTAAAGAGAGCTATTTGCAGCATAATATTACATTAATTATATATTGATTATCAGAGCAATGTAAAAGCTTACAATCTTTTGACAAAATGAATAAGAATAAAGTATGAAATTCAGTGCAAAATCTTTCTTGGCACCAAGAATAAATTTGACTAGAAGAAAGCCGTGTTATCATAATGTGTTGCTAAATTTGTATTCAAGTTCAGAGATAACATGATCAAATATGGTCAGAGAGAGTTCATTTTGTAGCCTTAGAAGACCTGAAGTAGAGAAATGGAGGGATTGTGAGATTTAAAGAATGCTATGCAACTATTAATGCCTCTAAAGAGCCGTTCCCAGACTCTTTAGCTCATTAACCCTTCATAAAGTTTCAGATTGTTCATCAGCCCCCAAATATTTAACATATAAAATAATTTAATAAATACTTATTTAACTAGTAGTACTATAAATAATAACAATAACAATAATGGATAGTCCCATTGAACCTTAGGGGTTGACTGTGACCACGCTGGAGAAACCTACTCTAAAAAATATGTAGAAGATCTGCTATCTTCTACTGCCTATATTGTAATGGCACAGAAATACTAGCAAGCATATGAGAGTCACAGTAATTTTTACCAATTATTCTCTATATTTAAACATTTATTTTGTAGCAAACTGCAACTTGTAATTGGAAACACACTGCTTCTTTGCACATGGATAGTTTGCATAAATCATAAAAAGAGATGCCTCCTAAGAATAGTTACAGCTTATATTCTCTGACATCATCTATCCAAAGCCTCTTTTACTTATGTTTACTTTGCAATATAACTAATTCTTACTATATTATTTAATATTATGCTCTCTGTGGCAATAAAACATGATATGTAGCACAAAGTTGTTCATTATTGGTGCTGAAGGAAAGAGTTCCAAATGTGTCAATCTGCTGTAGATTGAGTTATTGCATTTAAACTTTTCTTATATCTAGGAAATTCACATTGGGCTCGTTCATGGGGAAGCCCTGAAAGTTGTTAATAGAAACAGGGGTGTCCTGCAGGGAAAGGGATCAAAAAAGGCAACATGCAATCAAAACTCCACCAGTGGTGGCAGACTTCTGGCTTGAATCCCTTCGCTGACAGACCGAAACCGCAATCATGCATGGTTTTGATCTGTGCTCGCCGCCGAAGCACCCCAAGCCAGCTGGTATCAGGGCTAAGCCACCCCATAGAGGTGGTGAGGAAAGGGGAGACTGCCAGCAGGGTTGAGGAGAGCCACATTTCTCCTCCTCAGCTGGCCATTACTCCCTTTCCTGAAGGCTGTTGCAGCAGTGGTCAGAAATGGCCACCTCAAAGAAGAACTCAACTGGAAAAGAATGTGCAGGAAGAAGATAAGAAGAGAAAGTTTTGGTTGACCAGGTTAAACTGCAAAAGCAGTTTTTCAAAAAAAGTTTGTTTTCAAAAAAAGATGTTTTATTTGTATTATGTTCTTTTTTGTGAAAACCCAAATAAATAAATAAATAAATAACTCCACCAGTGGTGGAATTCAAATTTTTTTACTACCAGTTCTGTGGGCATGGCTTATTTGGTGGGCGTGGCTTAGGGTCACATAACTGGGTGGGTGTGGCTTGGCGGCCATGTGACTAGGATGGTCATGTGACTGGGTGGTCATGTGACTGGGTGGGTGTGGCCAACTCAATGTCACTCACATCAAGGGGTGCCTCACCTGGCCCCTCCCCTCCCAGCCATTTCTTGTCACCCAGCCTCAACTTATCTACAGTTCTGTAAAAATGTTGTTCACCTTTTTTGACTTTATTATCTGCATACTATAGATGTACTTTCATGGACCACTGAAAGGAGCAAAATGGCTCACATGCTTTACTCAAGAGTGTGACAGGCAACAGGCTTTTAAGGAGCTGCCACAAAGAAAGGGGGACAATGTATTTCCCAAAGAAGCAGAATGCAAACAAGAAGCAATGGATGGAAACTGAACAGAAAGAAGCAACTTAAAACTAAGGAGAAACTTCCTGACACTGAGAACAATTAACCAGTGGAATTGCTTGCCACCAGAAGTTCTGGGTGCTCCAACACTGGAAGTTTTTAACAAAAGACTGGACAGCCATTTCTCTGAAATGTTATAGAGTTCCCCACAAGGTCCCTTTCTAAGTGTCATTATGTTATTCTGACACCTTTCCCAGGACCTCTATTCAGATTTTGGATTCCTCAGAGTTTTCCTGCCTGAGCAGGGGGTTGGATTAGAAGACCTCCATAGGCCCTTTCAACTCTGTTAAATGCACCTGTATTTATGCCCTGACATGTAAACCCTGAAAAATATCTGGGCAAAAGAAAGGCAGTAAAATCACTTTAGGTGTAGGGACAGTGCAAAATATTAATATATGATAAATAATGGAACAATTAAAAATAATACCACAGAGTATTCTCTCTCCCCCTTCCTTCTTTTTTTCTTTCTCTCTCTCTCTCTTTCTCTCCTTTCCTCTTTCTTTCTTCCTCTCTTTCTCTCCCTTCCTCTTTCTTTCTTCCTCTTTCTTTCTTTCTTTCCTTCTTGCCCTTCCTCCCTTCCTCCCTCCCTCCCTTCCTTCCTTCCTTCCTTCCTTCCTTCCTCCCTCCCTTCCTTCCTTCCCTTCCTTGTCTCTATCTCACACACACACCTCTTTTCTGGGAAGAACTTATGAGCAGCAAGCGGAGGGTGGGGACAATGTGAATGTTGGTTTGGCATGCTGTGAATTGAGCCAAAATCACCTTATCAAGAGTTAGAATACTCCTGTAGGCTCTGGGTTACTAGATGATGCTATCTGCTTGGAGATGGTCACCTATCAACTGCATGATCATGTTACTGGATGCTTGAGGTGCTTTGCAACAAAAACTGGAGCTGGTCTTGGTTCTTTGTCCCCTGTTCCAAAGCCGTAAAACCTTTCTCTTTGCTTTACCTCTGCTTTCCCTGCTCTTCTGGGCTGGGAAGGTGGTCGACGCGCTCCAAAAAGGAGGCCAGTAACTCCTGGGGCTCCTTCCCATAGCCGCACTGCTGCCACCGCTGTTCCCCCACCCTCTGGACTGGCCCGGCACCCCATCTTGGCCTCCTCCCATCCGGAAAGGTCCCCAGCGGTGGGGGGCAGTCACAGAAAGGCCCTGCTCAGTGGGTCGCAGTGGGCCGAGCACGGTTCGCAGGGTTACCTGTGAGCAGGGCAGGCAGATCAGGGCTGCTCAGTTGGGGGCGGGAGGGTGAGCGGTGTGAGCAAGCATCAGGTGGGTGGGGCAACTGAGCAACCAGCAACGAGAGAACCGGTTCGGGGGCATGGCCAGCAGAAGTTACTAACAGTTCCACGACCCATGCCTAATCACCACTACAGGTTCTCCAGAACTGGTGAGAACTGGTTGAATGCCACCTCTGAACTCCACCCCTTTTTACATGCATCATGGTGCATGTTAAAAAAAGGCAGGCTTTGATCACATGGATATAGACACAATTTTGACTTTTGACCTTCTCCTTGCAGGCATCCCTGAAAGAAACACTGGTATTTCAGTGTTCTATCTCTTTATATGTGAACTATTTATATTCTGTACTGTTTTAAAAAATGACATAAATATAAGAAAGTAAAATATTAATCACAGTTAATTGACAAATGCATTATTTAAGCTATTTGGCTAACAATAGTTAGGAAATTCTATTAATTCAATATGTTAATGTGCATAACATGCTTTTCAGAAAAAGATAAAATAGCAGCAAAGACATTATTAGCAACCAGGTTAACAAGACTATTTAAATTGCAGATTTAGAAAAGGCATTCACATGCAAAGCAAGGCAGCAAGTATAAATATAACATGACACATCTTGTAATTTCTTTGGACATGGAGAGAAATTAAGGAACCTTACTTCAATGGAGGAAAAGTAGAAAAGGATAATGTTGGGTTGTAGTTCTTAAGCTTGCTCTTGGCTTAGATCCTACACATATTGCATGTCCCCTCCCCTCCACCAACAAAGAAAAATTCATGCTTACTTATGAATAAGGACAGAATGGTGCATCCCTATTATTTAAGCAAAGAGCAAGCCTAAGAAGTATACACTGTGGAATAGCAATGATGTCAGGTGCTCAAGGCCTTATTGTTCTGCTCAGTTTGTCAATTCCTTCTTCTACTTTGCCAAGTGGTTGTGTGAAGTGTGAATATCAGAATAAATACCTGGTTTTGCTAGATGAGCTCCTTTTTTTTGCCCAAGAACTTCTTGTTCTAAAAAGTGGGAGCAATACAAGATAAATTCAACATTGCTTTGCCGTTGTATAGTCTCTGCTCTTAACTTTTAAATTCTTCTCAGATGGATTTCACACAAAATGAGTCATTCCAGAATTACTGAGAGAAGAGCTACAGTGTTAGCCCTGCCTTCTGATGTTCTCAAACTAGCATACAATAGATAATGAATTGATAGGTGTGGTCATGCACGGGCTTTCTCTGAGAAGATATGCCTACACACAATACAGTTCTGGAATGGGTATATTAGCAGTCTGTTGAGAACATGCAAATGGTAACTCTTGGTAACTTCATAATATCTCCTTCATATAAAATTCTAGGTAACTAGGACCATGAACCACTGCAGGGAGGAGAAACCTTTTAAGATGGTTAGACCTAGCAGGTTTCTCAATGACCTGAAGCACTTCTGTTAGGCACCGCTCCATTCTGAGGAGCTCCATGAAATGAAACAAGTGGGGGGGGAAAACTGTTAGGTATCAGTTGAGTCTAGTTCTATTAGAATCCTGGTCAGTGCCCTCTCTATGTGGCTGCTTCTTCAGAAATATCATGATATTTCTAGGTTAGATTTGCAAGAAACAGGATTAATATTGTACTTCATAATAATTAATTCATAGATCATCAAGATAGACCATGCTGGGGGCAAAACCTTTGTCTCTATTGCTCAGTAAAATCATACCATACAATAGAACATTATTATATAGTCTTGGAAATGATGTGACAGTCACATATACATATTACTGGAGTAAAGCTATTATGACTACTCCATACAGCTAAGGTATGATTATAACCATATTTCAATGAGAAAATACAACATCCACCTGCATGTTAATGGAACTCAATGTACCACCTTGTGGAATCTCCAGATCTTCCCTGGAGAGTTTCCAAAGCCCACAGGTGGTTTAGATTAGAAGATAGGCAAAGAATAAAAGTTTGTCGCAGACAGTAAAAATCCAACTGATCATTGTTCCTGTATTTTTAATAGCTGTAAAGTTTAGAAACTTACTTGGTGGTTTATGTTCTGCCTCCTTGCCTAAAAAGAAAGAAAGAAAAATAATAATAATGAATTTTATTTCCTGTATCCCTCTAATCTTTAGAAAATAAAGATTGCAAAATGAAACATTTTTATGGCTGAAAGTCACAATAATGTAATTTTCTATGCAATGGTTTTCTAGGCAATAAGAGTCAATTTATGGTAATAGTGTCTCAAATTATGCATTTATGTTTATATACCACCAGAGTCATAATAGTGTCAGCACACAGTAGGCATCTTCCATTCTCTCTCTCTCTTTTTTTTTTAAAAATAACATTATTAAAAATTATAAATGAAAAGAATAAAAATCATACATTGAGTACTGCAAAAAACACAAACAGAAAAATATAAGAAAAAGAAAAACCAGGGAGTGTGTAAAAGAAAAAAGAAAAAGAAAGAAAAATTAAACGATTTTTTCCTTTATCCCAGTGGGTAAATACAATTTTAGTAGCTTATCACTGTCTCTAAATAAAACATAATCTCTCTTCTAGCCATAGCTCACCTTCTTTCAGGCACAAAGAATCAGGACTATTCATAAAGTTGCAGAACAGGAGATTTATTCAAGCCTGTACACAAGAATCTCGTCAAAAGTTCAACCGTAAATTGTGCCAGATAAAGGTCAACAGAATTCAAGAGGGATTGGACTTGGAGCACTTATGGGAACACAATGACTTTAAACTGATGATGTTCCCCCCTTTCCCCAACTTTGCCTGCTCTTCTCTTTCTTTTTCTTCTTCCAATAATCTAGGCATTGACACAATTGCCTACCATAATAGCAAGAAAGTTCTAAGAGCTATCAGAAAGACATCTGGAATTTTTTTTCTGGAAATGGTCTCCTATTTTAGACTCAATCAATCTAAATACCATAAATTAAAATGTAATTAAAGACAATGGAACTGGAGGGAATTCTTCTACAGCTTGGTCATCATCACCTCATTAGACACAGAAAAAGCAATCTCAGATGCCTTGCAGAAGGACTGAGGTGTGATGCTGCTTAAGATAGACCCATAGTTGCTATGAAATCATGACAATGTGTTCTGAAATTCACCAGGACAATAATAGCACAGCCACCCTGTCCTTTAGCTCAGAATAGAATAGAATTCTTTATTGGCCAAGTGTGATTAGACACACAGGAAATTTGTCTTTGGTGCATAAGCTCTCAGTGTACATATAAAAGGTATAAGTGATAAATCATGATAATGGTCATCATTAATTCATTCCTCATCAGGAAGTGACGTTCTTAGGCAACAAGGGAAGAAATATGCTAGTCAATCTTTATGTTGAGTCATGTCTTTATTTTTAGAGCACACATCCAGTACTGGTAAGGGCAGAATTTGCTATAGTTCTGATCTGTTGCTTGTTTGTGGTAAGCAGATAAGTAAACTTGAAAATACTTTCATTTACAGGTATTCCTCAACTTAAGACCATACTTGAGTCTGGAATTAGGATTATAAATCATGCTGGTCATTAAGCAGGTCAGTTATACAACCGTTTTGTGATGATTGTTAAGAAATGCAATGGTCCTAAAGCAAATATGTTGGTGAATAAGTGATTGCTGCAATCAGAATCCATTGTCTGCAATGGACCATGTTTTGCTAGAGACTGGAAGCAAATGCCAGTTTCTGGCAAAATATATATATATATGTAAATTGTGGCATTTGACTGTGGGATACTGTAAATGGACATAAATGAGGACCGGTTGCTGAGTGCACAAAATGTGATCACCTGACCATGGAGAAGGATTGCTGTCATAACTTGAAATCCTGATTGTAAATAGCCCTGAAGAGCTCCATTGTAAATCTGAACAATCATTAAATGACCAGTCATATGTAAAGACTACCTGCGCAACATTCCTTTTCACAAAAATGAAAAATTTTGGCTGTGGACTGGGACTACTCCAATGGTAAAAGAAGAGATGAATATATAATGTACAAAAGCTAAAATAAGCTAATTAGTGGCACTTGCCTCAAAGGTATTATTCCATAGGGAGCAAATTAATAGCAGTGGTTCATTGACATTGTTTGACAGAATACAGAGAGACTTCAGGAAATTCCTACTTTTGTTTTCTACAATATATACAATATTATTCTGACTACATCAGAGAGACATGTAAAATTCCTAGGCATATTTTTAAGAAGCATGTGTTCCCATCTCAAAAATAATCAGTTATTCTGGGTTCATTAATTTTGGATACTATTTATTTTGGTTCCTCTCTTGGTATCACCCGTCACTATTCTTTATAATCATTTTATAGTTTTAATGAGTCGTTGGTTCCTCTCTTGGTATCACCTGTCACTATTCTTTATAATCATTTTATAGTTTTAATGAGTTGTCTTTTCTTTCTAGAATGCCAAGAGGGTATTAATTATATACTCTTTTTATGTGTGTGAAAATGAGCCACAATGTTTCCGAATATATATGTGTGTTTGTGTGTGCATACACACACACACACACACACACTGATATATACACACACACACACACACACACACACACACACACACAAACAGTCTAGAATCAATAATTATGCTGAGAGAAAACCCCCCAAAATGACAAAGAAAGGATATAAACAATTCCTGTTGTCAGAACAGATGGGGCATCTTGCTCAGCATTTTCAGGTTTATTATCCAGGACCTGAATTTCCAGAAATTTCGTGCCTCTGATATTGGACATAATCCATAGACAAATAATTATTTGTCTAAGGATTAGTAGCTTAGGATCCATTAGTAGCTTTATTCTTTCTGAAGTCTTGGCTATGGTTTTATTTCTTTGATGTATTACTTATTTTATATACTTTTGATACTGTTGGCTCTTGAAGTCTTTTGTTGCTCTTCAACAACACCAAAAGTTTAAAAATGAAAACCAGAATTTAAATAATCAAAAAGTTTGTCAAAAAGTATCTTATTTTAAAGGTCTTTAAAAAGGAAAAAAGCAAAGAGCAGCAAAGAGGTCTCTCCTTTCTGCTCATTAGGGAACACCTTCCAGATAATGATAGAAAAAGCTTGACTCCAAGTCAGGACCTCAAGATGAGTCTTCAGCATCTGTAGATTTCCAAGCATTATTAGACCATTTTTCAATGAATGAGGTAGCTTGTTAGGCCATGTGAGCTTTTAAAGGTAATATCTATCATCTTGTACCAAACTAGAAGTAAATTGGCAGCCTTTTAATGCTTTTAACATGAGCATAATACACTTTTTCCAAGGGTCAGTGTGATGCTAAATTCATGTGCTATATGAAATTTCTGGAGAAGACAAAAAGGCATTCTTAAGTAGAGGTCTAATAATTTTACCCCTTAAACAATGAGGCATGGTACTCTGTTTCAGAAGAATATTTATGTATTAACAAAAGCATTTCCAGTAATTTCCTAGCTAGAAATTACAAGTGAAATTGGGCAAGATCAAAGGAATAAATTATCTTGTACTATATTGGTTAATTTCAAAACTAGCACTTAATGTTCATTAATTTGCATACATTGTAAAGAAAAGTATCTTAAATATATCATTAAACATGGATTAATGCAACATTTTCAAGATGTTAATGTGGTTTCCATCTACTCTATTTCTAACCTGAGAGAAGCTGTAGCACTTGGGTTATCCATTGGTTTTGATCTCTACAATATAATCCCTAACACCAAGTTAAGATGCTCCTGGCATCTCCATTCTCTCTGAATAGGGCAAAATCATGGGGATTAATTTAGTGGACCAGCATATACAACCAATAGGCTACATTCAGTTAAATGTGTTACACTTGTGGATCCCTGCATCAGGAGAGGCAGAGAGGTGCCCTTTGCAAGAACCTTTGGAATTAGGATGCTTGTGAGAATAGGATATCCACACACAGTGATGAAATGGTAACAATCCCATATTGTGATAACCCAGGGTGGGATACAAAATAAACACAGTGACAAAAACAGGTGAAGCCCCTTTAATTCCTTCAAAGGTCCAAATATCCTTGACTGGAGACAAAAAACCCTCCCAAGCAGTTACAAATGGAGGAAATGCCATTTAAACTAAAAAATAACTATAAATTATAAAGGGTAAAAAGAATACAAATTACACTGAAACAATTAAGGGAACCTGGCAAGATAAGAGTTTGAAGACATCCACAGATATCAGAACACAGACTGGGAAGGACACCAAACTCAGAGAGGAATGACAGATTAGAGATATTTCCACACTTTATTTCCAGCACTGGTCCATACGCATGTCCGTCCTTTTAACCAGTTCTCACAGCTGCAGCCCATGAAGAGGATCAAGGCCCTTTCCTCCACCATAGACCACGCTGTTCACATCTCTCCCTTATCCTCTCCTCCCTTCGTGCCCTAGGATGGAGAAGGGATGGGCCCGGGTCTTCCTCTGATTGACCATCCAACTCCACAACTTCCAGAGCCACACTTTCACTCCCTGTTCCTCTTCTCCCTCGGAGTCAGACTCCAACAGGGGCATGACATTTATCTTTGAGTCTTGGAGTGCCTCCCCTTCCCAACCAAGCCCCTCCATTCCTGTTACCATAATATAGCTAAAGATGTGAGCTCTGTTTTGACTTAACAACAAGTTTTATGCTTTTTTATGCTATGGTTGTGACATTGCATGTTACAATCCTCCTTTTGTCTTTTTGATGAATTAAAATGAAAAATAGTAAGTAAATGTTTAAAAAGAAACTGCAAGAGACAAAATCATACCTGTAATGTCAGGATGAGAAATATTCTTGGTTTGTTTTATCATGCTGGAGGCTAAAAAAGAGGTAAATTAAATATAAGACATAACAATTGCTTTCTTTGAAACCCACCTATTAGTCAATTTAAGCTGTAAGCCACATATTTATTTATTATAGCAGTCTTCTCCAACCATGTGCTCTCCAAAAGTGTAAAACTGTAATTTCTCTCTGACCCAAAGCCATTTGATTGGAAGAGCTATTTATTAATTTATTATACACATATGTATAGCAAAGAAAGATTTTATAACAATTAATTGTATTAGCCAAGGGACCAATAAACATTCCTTTACCAATTACTATCTTCAGCAGTTTGTATATGTAAAACAATTCTGCTTTCATAAAATAAGAGAAATTGTAACATTTGTATGACCAGTTTGTGCACAACATTGACTGATTGTATAGGGATTAAAAACAATTTACAAGTAGTAGAAAGTTTTAAAAATATACAATATTTTTGTCAAAATGTTTCTGATTTGACATTATGGTATCACAACTTTTATGGTACAGATTGAATATAGTAAACATCATTATTTACTACATAGTTTTAGACAATTATAGAACAAAGAGGGATTTTAAACAATTGTACTTTTCATCAACTATTAATGAGAACTTTAAAATTTCCTATTAATATTAAGAGAACATAGCTCATAGTTGCTATTAATACAAATGAAAAATAATTAAAAATTAGCGACTTTGGCAATTGAAATTATGTTTCTCAGGTTGTGCACAAGAGCAGTGTCCAAAGAATTAAGAAAATCTGTAGCAGACACTTCTAATCCAAGTTATTTAGAATCAGTTAGTTACCTGTTTTAGCTGGGCTTTCCCCCTTTTTAATGTCAGTTTCTAAAAAAAAAGGGAAAAAACACAATAGTTTCTTTTTAAAGTCAAGATTGTCAGCCCATCTGAATTTTGAATGTATTCCTTATCTTTGCTATACTATACTGTAGAACAGTCTGAAGGGGAATAAAAAACACTTTTACATTATCTCTAATAGCTTGAAGATTATTTAGATTATTTAGACTGAAAGTTGAACTAATAACCCACTGAAAAAGGATTAAAAGAATGAACTCACATCCCTTATTTCTTCCCCATTCCTCCTCAGTTGTTGTTTTTTTTTTTACATCACCATCTGGTAACATCATATTAAGTTTCACTTGAGTAAATAATATGCAGACTCACTAGCTTTGCTTATGTAATGGTATGTAGGAATGATCTTGGGGGAACTACAAAGTGCTGCCTAGGGAAAGATCAAGTAAGAATTGGTAGAGCTGACAGATGCATAATGGTCAGAGAAATAAACTCAGAGAGGATTCTCCCCAACTTATCAGACTGTAAAAAGAGACCATGAGAAATGTGTACTTTCAGACTTAGCTCTCTAGTGTGGGGAGACTAGGCTCTACCTATGACCAAGCTATAACATCCACAGTCAAAGATCCAGCTCACATGGACCATGGACTCATAACATAGAACAGGTACGCATACAATTGCACTATCAGTCTGCTTCACAGCTGAACTGCAGGCATACTATAGTCTGAGATGGCAAACTTATGGCATGCATGCCGGAAGTGGCACACAGAGCCACTTCTGCCGGAACACAAGAGGTTGCCTGGAAGAGCCCCACTGCGCATGTGCATGCACCCCACACCAGCCAGCTGATTGTCGGGTATTTGCCGCACATGCGTGGGGGAAGATGCAGGCACATGCACAGAGGCGTGTAGTGCAAGGGGGTGGCGTGTGCATGCATATGTGCAGGGGACAGGGGGAGTCACACGCTCATTGCATTATGGGTGCAGGGACATGAACGAGCACACGAGCATTTTTGGTATGCAATGTGGAAAAGATTAGCCAACACTGCTAGAGTCTTTGGGTGGAGGGTTTTGTTTGATGTTTCAGATTCTCTTGATCTTTGTTCCTTATTTCATTGCCTCTTTCAACTCTTGTCCCATTATTTGGTTTTGCTTCAGGCCAAGTCAAGTTAAATACGGAAGCGTAATTGGAAAAGGTTGCCTGGTGTATTTGGCAGCTGCGGCGTGCAAGTCAGCATGAATGAGAATATCAAACAGTGCTATTTAAAATATGGAAATTTAAGAAGCATGATATGTGTTATCCACCATACTATCAATTGCAAAGTTGCCATTAGTCTTCACAGCTGTGCAAGAAAAAACATTTAAAAGGCTGAAACAGCAATACAATATTTTGTGAACGGCCTCAACCACATGGACATTTCTGTTATTAATTTGGATTGAAAAAAATGATTTTTTTAAAAATGCACATTTGCCTCACTTTTTGCAAACAATAGAGGTAAAAAAAAAAACAGTTGCTAGAAGACATAGGAAAATTGGTCCCATGGCTCTTATGAGAAAGCCAGAGATGGGAGAAACAAACAAACAAAAAGGAGTGCTGCCATAGTGTGCCTTTTCACCTCCAACCAGAAATGGCTTATTGGGTTTCTGAAGAGATATCAGTCAAGCTTTTGCTCCTGAGCATGTTATTGGGAAATGGCAACAGCTGAACTGAAACATTTCAGAACACCACTTATTTCTACCATGGACCAATACTCAGTAGTGGTATCTGGAAAGGGATAGAGAAGAATAATGAATAAATAATCCATAGTGGGCTCAGCTGGACACCAGTCAAGTAAGTAACACTACGCTATAGATATTTCTGGTGAGGCAGTGAAAGAAAAAAATAAAGAAAAATACATGTAGCCCAGAGTTGAAATGAGGGTCTTTGGTGCTCTCTGAGCTTGGATCAAATTCTGAGCTTGGCTCTGAGTTCAACCAAGCTCAGAAAGCACCAAGGACCCCCTTTTCAAGGAATACTGAGTAGCTAGAAAAATCTATTCATCAGAACAGTTCTGAGTGAACTTCTCTTCCCAGGAAACTTGGCTCTCTTATCTTCTTGCCTATCTCCAGATTTATGACTGGAGGATTTGGGAAACTTGGTTATGTACTGACTGTAACTTATTTTGAACTTAAATGCTTGAAATGTTTATGCCCATTTTCTAGAGCTAGTTCTCTTTCAAGATGATGAGATGAGATGAGATGAAATGAGGGAAGGGAAGGGAATGGAATGGAATGGAATGGAAGGGAAGAGGAGAGGAGAGGAGAGGAGAGGAGAGGAGAGAAGAGAAGAGAAGAGAAGAGAAGAGAAGAGAAGAGAAGAGAAG